ATGCCTTCACATCCAAAGGATGTAACAGTACTTTTACTTAAGTGCAATATTTTAGTATTCTTTCCACCTCTGAATATATAATATCATCAGCAATATCCTTTAACGCCACTGTGTCTACAATAGAAAAACAACATTGGTAACACCGGATACTATCGAAAAAGGCACAGTATTTTATCCTTGGCTGAGGTGGTAAAGTTTGCGTATCAATAAAAACAAGCCGCAACAATTTGCAGGGGAAATAGACTAAGTAAATAAATCATGATGCATATGAAGCACATTTGTCACTCAAGCATCCTCTCCACTGAAGAGACAAAAACATTCAGTTCAACAATATCTCCAATTCACAACAGAAGTTATCTCATGCACTTTTCATATAAAACAAGCCATGAGAAAAGCACTTGAAGGCGGTGGCAAGGAAAAACTCCCTTTCAGCAGGTTCGAAACCTAGAGCAGAACCTAGACTCAGAGTGGGCAGCTATCTGCCTCAGTGGGTTGGAGAGGGAGAGAGAGACAGACAGAGAGAAAGAGTGAGCAAGAAAGAGGGGACCAGGGGCGTGGTAAGCTCAGTTGGTAGAGCGTGCATCCCATGTCCAAGGCTGTCTTTGCTGCAGCGGCCTGGGTTTAAGTCCGGCCTGTTGACCTTTCCTCCTCTCTCTCTCCCTCTCTTCCTCGCTCTATCCACTATCCTATCAAATAAAGGTTTAAAAATTGCCCCAAAATATCTTTTAAGAAAAAGGCAGAGAGGGACAGACATAGCAAAAGAGAGCACAGGAGGAAAGAGAACACACAGTAGCCCAACACAGAGATGTAAAATAATAGTAATGGTAGTGGTAATAATACAAATATCATAAAATGAACAATAGTAATAATAATGATAGTAGTAGAACTATAATAATAATAATTGTAGCAGTGGGCGCCAAGCAGGAATATGATGGCAGCAGGCGAGCCGCAACCACAGATCTCATTGTGCTCAATGTAGAAAATTTGTCTTAATATTCACATAAGGGCGGTGGACGGAAAAGCACATTCATTTGCATTTTCTTTAGCAGATTTTTTGGGCAATTCCATAAAATGTGTGCCACATGTGGATGGATACCTGAACTGTGTTGCATTTGACAGATGCTGAAATTACATAACAATTCCACACACAGTGGCTCTAGGTTTATTTTGTTTAACGGAACTAAAACTTAAAAAAATAAATACATAAATTTCAAACTATTCTCAAAAGTCCAACTGTTGGCAGAAGCCCAGAGAGTTGAGCATAAATTCTCAGTCTGTGGGACATCCCACAACACAAACAAATGTCTTGACTGTTGTCTCATTTGTTAATGGTAATTACACAGAGGTGTCACAAAACTCAATATATTTTTATATTGCTGTGTGAACAGTAATACCAAAAGATAACCAACTAAATAAAATATTAGTAGCTTTACATCATAGTGTGATGCCAGTAGCACCAGTAACCCCACTGTGAATAATATGGAGACTATACAGTTAATCAAAGAAATGAAATGAAGGCAGAATGTGTCTGGGTCTATAGAATGATTTTCAATGACAATGGAAACATACAACATTTGTCCCCGTCCTCCCACCAATTATCCCCATCAGCCTTCCTGACAGCATAACGCCGAACCACTGAATGGCCTAATCTCTCTTCACAAATTAGCTCCTTCTCTCATCTCCCTATGCCCTTAAACGTCACACGCTGCCTATTCATAACCATTATCTCAGGGCCTTCGACAATGGAGCGAAACAGGGGCCAAGAAGAAAAAAGAATAAAGACACTGGGAAATGTAAAACAGTGGGTGAAAATAGGCGATGCGGTTCGATCTCAGATTCCCCGCTGGCCCTGAGCTATCAGAGCCATTGATTGGCTCATGTAATTCTGCTCTGATTTGGCTTGGTCAATCAATGTGCTGCAGACTCACTTCCTGTGACTGGGCAGCCATTAGACTAGAGGTGAACAATCCCATAGTTTCTTCTGCTCCTGGAAATATACAGTTTACACCGACCCATGCCTGAACTACAGGACAACTGCTGTTCTCCTCTTATTCCATTGGTCACTGCGAGCTCTTCAAACAGCCATTTCTTGTCTCACTGCCTCATTTCAGTGTCTGTATTGACCGGGGGAACACAAAATGCCTCTTTTGAGGATGGAGTAACATTGCAAGTGAAAAACAAGCAAAGGTAAAAGGATTATTGAAAAAAAGAGGTTTCAGTTTCTGCAACCACCGTCTCTTTTTATGGCAGAGAAGCTACTTTTTAAGAGGCTCATAAAATATACTAAAGCAGTTTGTAGTGGTTTGGATCTAGATCATTATGGTTATGTATTGCAGATTAAATAATTCTGTATATTTAGGTATTTTTAAACTAAGACCACATTAATATGCATGCTCTGTGTTGGCTGTATATTTGAGTGCATATATACAGTATATATCACCTTGAAATTATTTTGAATGCTTATCTTATATTCTGTTCTTGTGCTCATAACCTATTTTTATAATGTTCCCTGCATTATTCTGCATCTGTTGCTGGCAGTACACATTTCCCAGCAGAGACCAATACAGCGTCATCTACTGTAATTTCATCTTAGAGGTCATTAATAGGCAAAACCTGACAGATACATCAGGTATCAGTTATAAAAACATTTGAAGTTAATGCTTACATCAGCATGGTTTCAAGGTTTCCAATAATCCCACCACAGCAAAGCAAATATAATGTTGCAAAATAAGACTAAATGCAGAGGGGGAGGCATGAGACACAGATACAGGTGCGTGAAAAATTTGCATGCCTTGGAGTCATAACTCAGTCAAGTCTGAACACACAGACATGATACACTTACTGACACTTCTCGAGAGTATCATTATACCTGGTGTCCATCCAAAAGTCCATAAATCCCAGTTGAAAAAAAACACACTCCTTATACTTAAATTTAACATTATAACTATATAGGTTTTAGGTTTTCCTCAGTATCAAAGTACTCCAGTGTCAGTTTTCTGTACATCCATGGGTACGTTGCATACGGGAACTGCTAATAGCTAATTCGGCACTCTTTTAACGGTGCTAATTTACCAGTGTCTGAATTTGGACACCCCTAGTGTTATTTGAAGGTTGAAGGGCAAATTTATGAGGGAAATAGGAGGCTCTAAATGATTATGTAAAATGAAAAAGACTAAATACCATAAGACTTTTTCAAACTCTCCTAGGCTGATCATGAAATGAGAATATTTAGGAAATCTTAAATGTCATTGTCTCTGGTCATCACACACACACACACACACACACACACACACACACACACACGTTTGTTCCTCCATTTCCCTGGAGACATTTCTCACTGACATAATGCATTCACTGGCCCTTTAACCTTACCTTAACCATCACAAAATAATGCTCTTAACCTATTTGTAACCCTCAAAAAGCAGTCTCTACCTGTGAGGACCCCAATTTTTGTCCCCACGGTGACACGAGTCCACATCAGTTAGCTTGCATCCGGTTAAAGTGCCCACCTGGATATAAAAACATGAACACACACACACACACACACACACACACACACACACCACCACCACCACCCCCTCAGTTACCAAACAAACATAACAGCACTTAATTCTCTGCTTAATTTAGCCATTGATTTTTCTAACACCAGACCACACCATAGATAGTAGAAGACATCAGGGTGCCATGTTTTATGGTCACTGTGGGAACTCCTTGCACACACACACACACACACACACACACACACACAGAAACCAGGGGGGAAAAAGAAGATGTTTGCCTGAGGATTACACAAAAATCATGCCTACTAATGTCAGGAGATCTAACCATGGCAGTTGTTTGTGTGTGATTGTTGTTTGTGTGTGTTATGTGCGTTTACAGCTGCTGTCCCCATAAGCGTGTGATCAGTTGTGAACCAGCAGACACTCACAGACACAGCTGTACTGTCACATCATCTCACATACACTCATGCACACTCACCCTCACCCACACCCACACACAGCTGTTTTAGTGTCAGGATAAAAACACACGTCCTAAATATGTGTCATTTACAGCGTTTCCACTGTTGTCATTTTGGATGATGTCCATTATACATATAAATATATTTAAACTTAAACCATGTTTCTGTCATTACTCCTGACATTGATCCTAGTTTCACTAATGATAACAATATGCTTATTCACGTTAATAGAGCTGGAGAGTATCCAACTTTTAAAAGGATAAATCCAGTTTATGCCACTGTGAGTCATATTTTTATAGTTTTGGATATCATTTCTATTCATTAAGATGAGATTGTACTCACCAAAATAATTGCTGAGATTGAGGAACACGGAAAAATTGCTAAAAATATGTCCAGCTGGGTAACAAACAGAAGCAGTCTGAAGATTAGATTTTAACAAGCCAAATCCAGATCACAGCAATAAAAGAAATATATATAATATAAGAAATATTTCACCATTTTGGAATAAATGCTTTCTTTTGCTTTCTTTCTGAAAATGAGATGAGCAGATCTATCCAAATCTCATGACTGTGCATTAAATACAGAGCTGAAGTCTGGATGTGATTAGCCTAGCTCTGCCCAAAGTTTAAAAAATACACCTTAAAATATATCTAAAGCTCACTGATTAACATGCTGAGTCTTGTTTGTTTAAACTGGGTACAAACAGAAATGTAAACATGACAATTTGTGGTTTCAGAAGAAGTTACATGGCGCAACCACATCCAGCTTTCCAGCTTCTTACTACTAGATAAGGATGCACTATTCCACTAACTTGGTTATTCTTTCTGATAACACTTATGGTGAAATAAAGACCCCAGTTGTAATAAAACTGAATTATCCTTAAATAAAAGCCAATATTGTCCATGTACCCTGTCTGGTTACCTCACGATTGTTTGTTTAAATCATGTTGCACACTTTGCTGCACGGGAAGCCTCATTTTCCTGTTTTACTGTGATCATAAACCCCACAGTGGACCAACACAACATGAGGCCACATGACTTACAGGCGTTGGTGACGGCAAAGCTGTTTGCCGTCTCGATGTTGTCCACATGAGGCACCAGGTTGAACGGAGCTTCCGAGGCGTTCGGGCTGGTATTGTGCAGGAAGATTGCCAAGCGAAAGGCAGTGTACTCCTGATCAGTGTTTCTGATGAACAGACCGCCTAAACAAAAGGGGAGGAACACAAGTCTGATGAGGAGCATGTGGAGAAAAAAGCACCAGAGAAGTATCCACTCTTACTATAGACAGTTCATTTACTGCAGAGGAGCACAGAGACATGAAACAAGTTAAATAACAGCAGAAAACTACTAAAACAATCTCAATACTTCCTGCAGATTTTCACTGGAGTTCATGCAAATTAGTTATCAAAAGGACATTATTGTTTGTCAGGGTTTATCTTCCATATAAAACTTCTTATTGTGACTGAAGTTCTGCACCTTGATGACACATGTCACATGATGACACCTAAGTAAGTTAACTGTTCCCAAGGTTTGAGTGACTCCACACTAGTTACAATAATTAATAAGTATAATATTTTTTGTTGATCTGTCACTGTTATGGCTTCGATATGTTTAGATTTAGGCACAGAAATGACTATTAAGGTTAGGAAAGATTATGGTTAGGGTTAAAACGAGACTAAAGAGCATGTGTGAGGATGTACTTAGGCACAGATATACTTTGAGCTAAATGCTAACATCACCCTGCTAACACTAGAAATGCTAACATGCTGACATTCAGTAGGTAAAATGTTTATCATGTTCAAAATTGGCATCCAATTGTTGTTGAGACATTTCACTATGAGAGAACTGTCAATTTCCTGTTGGCACTAGAAGAAAAGTCCATAGGAGCCAAAATCCACCGTCAAGATATTTCACTAGAAAAGCATAAACTTTGACTTGCTGGTGTTACTCAAGGAAAAAGATGGGCTTCACCAAAATCATTAGGATTCATCTTTCGGGGACCATGAATGTACCAATTTTCATGGCAATCCATCCAGTAGTTATTGAGATATTTAGGATTGCCATCCATAGATCCAGATTGCTAAAATCTACCTGGTTACTGTTTGGGGTAGTTGGGTTTAAAAAACATCTTCAGAAATATTCATTGTTATGGTTAAAAAACTACATAGTTACAGTTAGGCAAGGATTTTTATTATGGCCACAGGAAACCAAGGTCTTTGTCAAGTAAACACGGGTCGTGTTAGACATTTAAACAAACAACTGCTGTTTTGGGGTTTTAAAAAGGTTTTACCAAAAGTTTATTAGGGTTTGACAGACTGATTTAGTATCTGTGGTCAGAGAAGAACCTCTATCATATTAGAAGTCGACACAACTGACTAGACAATATATGGGATGTAATAAAAGCCCAACATTGGTGTGGTAAATCACTTTGCCAATATCCTACTGCTGACAATTCTGTGTTAATCCTACAGATTAGCAACTCATGCACCACTAGGCTTTGTGACAATGTAGGATACAGTCTGATTAGCATGTAAATCACCTTTGTTTCATATTATTGCAAGCAGAAAAGATAATATAATATTCACCAAATATCCTTCTGGATCAACACAGCTTTTCATTCAGTTCTCACAAGAGCAGCTCCAGTTTGAAGAATCAGTTTGGCATCAGAGATGTTTGCACTTGGTTTCTTTAATCTTTCTATTTTTTAATTTTTTACATTACAGCCATGTTCATATACGAAGATCTTGACTACACAGTTCATGGTTGTGCAAATGTCAGTGATGTTTTCGGTTAGAAGCAGTTTGTTTCACATTTGAAAATCTAACTGCAGGCTGTATTTCTTGGGATGAGAAAGTATAAAATGTCATTTAAAGAGAAATGCCAGTATGTTCTCTTTATGGCTGAACTCTTTAAAAGGTAAACTTTAGAATATTTTACTCCTTTGTAATGCCCACTCATGTAAATCTCTTCCATATTTTTGCACAACTCCAGTAATGGTCACAAAAAGCACATGAGCTGTTGTGATGGCTATATAATTTCCACTGTGATGGTTTCATGTCCCATTGACCAACACTTCCTACCAAATGCTCAAAGGAGGAGTTAATTCCTGATTTGCAAAAAAAAAAAAGTGAGAACATTTTGATTATCTTGACTTCCAATCACTAGGAATGCCCTTTGCACATTTCAAATGTGAAAACTTTTCACTGCTAATTAAAAAGAGGATACAAATACTGCCTTGAGCCAAATCCCACTTATTCAGCTATGACTTTCCCCTCTGCTAGATGTTACACATAATGAGATTCAGTACAAAAGTACACACTGTAAGGGCCCCAGACTTTGAAGTTTCTTAAATGCCATATGGTTTGCCTAAAACAAGACTCCAAGGAGAGTCTTAACTGTGTCTCCAAACAGCCTGTTTGTTTTGACCCCATTTCCTCCTGGTATGTGTTATCTTTATGATGACATCTGATCACAGGCCTTTGAATTTACACTTGGTATCAGAATTGAGAGTGTTCTCATCATCTCAATTCTGCTTGCATTGTGATCAGATCATGCAAATTAGGCAGGTAGAGCTGGCCGACTTGTTAACGAACACGCTGTGTCTTAGGTGGAGGAAAGCAATGTGTGGTCCTCTCGAAGAGGCCGCTAGATGTGCAAGGTGAGGGTCACATGACAGAAGATGGAAACAGCTAATGGTATCTATGGGCTACTTGTCGAAAGCCATGCTAATTAGGCTAATGTTACTAATTGTAAGAAGGTAATCAGAGCCATTGAAGAAGCTTGCAAGGACACTGCTATCTCGACTACCCCTGTGGGTCATGTGACCCCTAGTCTTGCACATTGTAGTGGTCCCTTGAGAGTCTTAGAAAGTGATGCTGCTGCATAAGCTCCATTTATTATTCCATTGCCCTGGAAGGGATTGTCTGTAGCTTTTTGACAAGCAGCTTGAGATAGTTGGAAGAGGTGGCGTTAGGTGAACCTTTCAACATATTTGGCCAGTTGTAGTCACGTTGTACAAATTGCATTTACACCTGGCTGAGATCCATTCTCAATGTGAGCCAGACCACCTCCAGACATGGGCTGGCCAATTCTAATTGCAACGCATTCTGAGCGTATATACACCTTAACGTGTGTTATTCCTTAAACAGATTTAGATCACATGTTAATACCACGTGCAAATGGGGTCTCCATGTGTGATGATCTAACTGGTCTCAGTAGGTTTAAGAATCTGGCAACAAGAGTTGGACCTTAGTAAATACCCTCTGAATAGTCACATCCTTAAGAGAGTTTACATCCACACACAAAGCCAGGCTACTCAGATGATATTAGGATCTTCCTCAGAAGTGACAAGAGCTTCAGTATCCTTAAATGAGAACCCATGAATCTCTGAAATAACTTTTAGTATTGCTTGGAAACAATTTTCCAAATCCTGGAAGATAAACAATCAACCACTCAGTTTTGCGACTATTTCTGCTTTTGGGTTTTTCCCCCCGCACTCAATGTAATGCATGCTGGGACAGGAAATAAATTTAAAAACGACTGTCTTCACATATATCACTGGTGCCAGAATTCATCTGTGACAGTTGCAGAGCATGTGTGCCATGACTGTATGTGTGACTTTTGTGTGTTGCATGTATGTGTACACAGCAAATTTCATGCAGCTAATAAGTGGTGATTTTTCAGTGACAATTATTTGAAACTGACAAGTGTTGATTGGAGAGATGTTTGCCCTCTCTGAGAACTGATGGAGCTTTGCGGTGGCTGATCAAAACTACATGAAGTGTTAAATGAAGTCTGATGGGTGAGGAAACACTGGCACATTGTGGATTTTTACACTCCCAAAGATCATTTACAGGGCCTCAATGGAAAATATGATAAAAGGTATTACAGCAACTATGTTTGCTATGATTGACAGCAATGTTGTTAGCCAAATGATAAAGAGAAGTGGTTATAATCTGAAAAATATTAGGAAACTGTCTGAAACAGCAGATAAGCTGTGTGAGCAAAAATGCTTAAATCAGCAGCACATATTATATTACTTGAATGTTTAGCAAGATGGTGCGGCAGTTTCACAGATGCAGGTTTAAACCCCCACCCAGCTCGGGTATCCTCACTTCCAGGGGTGCTGTTCTGTAACAGACCCTGACCTCTGACCTCTCTGGAGGGGCTGGGGATTTGAGTATCACACTGATATAAAAGGACAAGGAGAATCATTTGAACAGCTTGTCATTTTTCATCAGCCTGACTCGTTCTGATGTGCCTTAACTCTGCTACAAGCAGGGGTGCATTGGAGGGTAAAACCACAAAAAGTCAGTCTCAGCAAATGTTTGATTAGATAAATAAGGTTTTAACACATTCTTAAGACTAAAAAAATATTTGTTCCTGAGGATTTTAACAGGAAAAAGCATGAAGGTCTGCTTTTCTGTTAAGTGATTTTTTGGGAGCATTGCGATGACAGCTGGAGGTCACAGTTTGCCCTTCTTTTTATTCCCTGCCTTTAAATCAACCAAGTCAATCTGCCTGCTAATGAAAACCATGAACCCATCATCTTTATTTCCTCCCATGAACGCTGTTTAGTTGTTAAATTGAAACATGCAAATGTTTAAAAGAGCAAGAGCAACTCGAGAAAAAGAGTGCACAGTGGAGCTGTAAGGCCCGTGGGACCGTGGCAGAGGTTTATTGCAGCGCCAGGACCGGGGTCTGGGAGAGTGTTAACAGCAGTCAATGCACAGGCAGCCTGCATAGGGAATATACACACACACACACACACACACACACACACACACACACACACACACACACACACACACACACTTTGCTGCTCTGATCTGCTGCAGTGGCGGAGTGCACTGGGATACACACTCTAGCCTGCAGATACAAAACACATTAGGTGTGTGTGTATTAAACAAGCACAGCATCAACAGAGGAAATAAGGCTGTCTGCATGTCTTATTTCAGACAACAACAAAAAAGAAAATCAACAATTTCCACTTTGAGTAGGCTAGTGCTGAGGTGTTAAATGGCAGGACAGAGGCAGCAGACAGGACGTCCACAGATTCATTCAAACGTTTCATTTTATGGTTATAACTAACATCAAAGCTCACACTTACCGATCTGAACGCTGCTCGGGAAAGCACCCATTGCCAGTCCCCAAAAGCCAGAGAATATCAACAGAAACCAGTCGCGAGAAGAAATCCTCATTTTGTTTCGGTTATAAACTGATGAGAGACATCGAGCAGGTTTAATTAACACCCCCGGGGCAAAAGCAACATCACAGGGTAAAAAAAAAAACTATGATAAAAAAAGATCAAATGCCCGTTAAAAATCCATGTCTGAATTGAGTGGCTTTTTCTTGGATATCCCCACGCAGAGCCGCTCGTTTGTACCGTCAAACTGCGTCCGTCCGTCCGGCGCTGGAGATTTTGCGCACAACACCACCAAGATGAGGGGGGGCGGCATCAGCCAGCAGCGGCCAGTGCGTCTGGATGCGGCTCAACTCACATCACAGCAATAACACACATGCGCCTTTTACCCGACCAGGGCAGGCGGGAGGGGCATCAGTCAGTCCCGCTCAGCACCCAGCGGCGGAAAAGTCCCCGCAGCTCATTTAACACCAAAACTTCCAGAGCCGCTGATACAAAAATGTCAGCGATGACTGATGGCTAACAAGAGATTGTGTTTCAGAGACATTATTACAAATAGCTCTTTTTACATCAGGAGATCCTCCATGTTCTTAAGTCCAATGTGAGTCTTGTTCTTACTCATGCTCCTTTCATTCTGCATATTGCCTTTTTAATGTGCCATTTAAAAAGCGTCAATTGTCCCAATTAACAGGATTATAATGAACAAGCTGCGATCTAAAGGGATTATTTGTGTGTGAACTTCTCTTTTGCGTTTCTTTTGAAAGATTCAAAAGGCTTCACACGGGGTTATTTAACCTATTTTATAATTTTTCACTGTGATGGCAGGGTGTCTAAGTAGAACCATACCTCAATATATAAATAAACAGAACATGCCTGGTTTATAGCTATATTGGTCAGTGTGATAAATCAGGTCCCTAAACTTGTGTAGACTTGAAGCACAGCAGCATCATTTGTATCATAAAAAGATTTAAGAAATGTTTCCAGCAGCATCTTGTTTCAATGTTTTCACGAGAAAACTAATATAAATAGCTAAAATGGTTCTCTATGGTGTCAAAAGGGTTTTACAAACCCACACAAGCCAGAAAGTGTCAAACAGCCTTAAGCTGCAGTTCCTCGAAGGGCCACAAGACGCTGGGTTCAGAGCAGTGATTACAAAGTAGCCTAGTGTTTGGTTAAAGAATAGTTTTACAGTTTTTCAAGCTTTTTCCTAAAACAAGACTCAGAGTTTTGGTCACTGTAATGATTCCTCTTGTACTGGCTGTGAAAAAATCTGTTCCTAACATAATTCCAAAGGAAGAGAAGGGGGACAAAATCTACAAAGAACTATGAAGATAAAGTTGCCAGTTTATTAGGTGCACCTGCCTAAAACTAACACTGTCTAATACAATAAATCCTCCCTTCAACATCTCTTATAAAAAACAACATAACATTATTCTGCTCTGTTGTTTTTTTTACAAGAGATGTTGATTCAGCTATCATTTGGAGGACGCACTTTATGGTGCTGCTGAGCTTTATTGCTTTACAATCTCGGAACCCATCAGCTAATGAACATTTAAATGCAGATACATTTTTAAAAAACAAATAAACAGAGAATCTCTAATGTTCTGAGATTGATAGTCACTAAAGTCACTGTTAGAAGATAGCTAATGAGTTAGAAGATAGCTAATGAGTTTTGAGATTACATTTTACCAAAGCCTCTTTTGCTTTTTACAATGACCGTTTACCTGCATGCAACCAAAGCCCACTCAAACATAATGGGTCAACACTACTTGGACTAAAAACACCATATATCTATTTAGAGATTAATTGCTTTATACCAACAGTTGTAGAGCTGCACCGATTAATCGATTAGTTGTCAGCTGTTAAATTAATCACCAACTATTTAGATAATTGATTAAGGTAAATAGGCAGGTTTATTGTCACAATATGAGAAGTTATAGAGTGAAATTGTGTTTTGTAACTCCCTTCTGCTACATAGCAGACAATATACATTAATGCAGAATCAATTATAAAGAATGGTAAACAGAAATAAACTATAATCAATAGAGCAGTGCTGGGGATGAATTAGAGTTTAAGAGTCTGATGGCTTGGGGGAAAAAGCTGCTGCGCAGTCTGGCAGTGTGGCAGCAGAAACTTAATTAAAATTAATCCGTTCAAGTAATTAAAAAAAAAAAGAATGAAAATTATTAAATGTAAACGTTTCCATGTTTTCTTACTCCTCTGAGACAGTAACCTGAATACCTTTGGGTTGTGGACAGAACAAGGCATGTGAGGACGTCTACTTGGGATTTGGGAAACAGATCTACATTTTTCACCTTTTTCTGGCATTTAAATAGACCAAACAACTAACTGATTTATCAAGACACTAATCAACAGATTTATTGAGAATGAAATTAATTGTTCGTTGCAACTATAGGTGTTTCTATAAGAGTGTCAGTCTGTGTCAGAAATACCATACCTGTATAAAAATGATGTTAGAGCCAGAAGACTTAATTTAGCATAAACAGCAAGCATGGCCCCCAAAATGTTGCACTACTTCTTTAAGCTGATGGTTTGGTGAAATAAAACTTTGACTAAATCATGCATAATTTCTGTCAGTAGCATCGCTTCAGCTAGTCTCTAGAAATTTTGTTAAAATTAAGTAATTTTGGGAGTTTTGTCTACATCCTTTAACGAGATATGAAAACCAGTGTTATGATACATTAAGGAAATGTAAGCTCATCTCCTTGGGGTAGTAACAATAGGAACCACAGGACACAGTGAAGCTGCAGACAGCTCAAGTTCTGCTGATATTGTGGTTTGTAGTTGCCTCAGGTAGACCTGCTTGAAAATGAGTAATTATATGTGAGACAATGTTGGAAGCAGTGCAGGAAGTCAATTTTGCTTTTGTCGACGTAGACGGCTGTGTATCATCACTAAACCTTCAGCAATCGAACAATCTGGAAATTGAATAACACAACTTCTGTTCAAAGGAGGGTCAGTGTGCATTCTGGACAATGCTTTCATTAAACTAATTTCCTGTAATTAAATTTAAGTTTTATTTAAGTACTACCAACCAACGTCCTACCATTTAGGTCACATTCACTGATGAAGACCATGAGAGTTGAAAGCGAACCTTTGAGTGTTGAGCTTTTTTTGCACACACATTGATCCCAAGGTCAAAAATGAACTTCCATGCTCAGATTTTTTTTCTGAATCCTACTATACAGGTGCTGGTCATATAATTAGAATATCATCAAAAAGTTGATTTATTTCAGTAATTCCATTCAAAAAGTGAAACTTGTATAATGTATACATTCATTCCACACAGACTGATATATTTCAAGTGTTCATTCCTTTTAATTTTGATGATTATATCTGACAACTAATGAAAACCCCAAAATCAGTATCTCAGAAAATTAGAATATTGTGAAAAGGTTCAATATTGAAGACACCTGGTGCCACACTCTAATCAGCTAATTAACTCAAAACACCTGCAAAGGCCTTTAAATGGTCTCTCAGTCTAGTTCTGTAGGCTACACAATCATGGGGAAGACTGCTGACTTGACAGCTGTCCAAAAGACGACCATTGACACCTTGCACAAGGAGGGCAAGACACCAAAGGTCATTGCTAAAGAGGCTGGCTGTTTACAGAGCTCTGTGTCCAAGCACATTAATAGAGAGGTCAAGGGAAGGAAAAGATGTGGTAGAAAAAAGTGTACAAGCAATAGGGATAACCGCACCCTGGAGAGGATTGTGAAACAAAAACCATTCAAAAATGTGAGGGAGATTCACAAAGAGTGGACTTCAAGAACCACCACGCACAGACGTATGCAATACATGGGTTTCAGCTGTTGCATTCTTTGTGTCAAGCCACTCTTGAACAAGACACAGCGTCAGAAGCGCCTGGGCTAAAAACAAAAAGGATTGGACTGCTGCTGAGAGGTCCAAAGTTATGTTCTCTGATGAAAGTAAATTTTGCATTTCCTTTGGAAATCAAGATCCCAGAGTCTGGAGGAAGAGAGGAGAGGCACAGAATCCATGTTGCTTGAAGTCCAGTGTAAAGTTTCCACAGTCAGTGATGGTTTGGGGTGCCATGTCATCTGCTGGTGTTGGTCCACTGTGTTTTCTGAGGTCCAAGGTCAACGCAGCCGTCTACCAACTTTATGGAGATGCAGATTTCATTTTCCACCAACAGGACTTGGCACCTGCACACAGTGCCAAAGCTACCAGTACCTGGTTTAAGGACCATGGTATCCCTGTTCTTAATTGGCCAGCAAACTCGCCTGACCTTAACCCTATAGAAAATCTATGGGGTATTGTGAAGAGGAAGATGTGATACGCCAGACCCAACAATGCAGAAGAGCTGAAGGCCACTATCAGAGCAACCTGGGCTCTCATAACACCTGAGCAGTGCCACAGACTGATCGACTCCATGCCACGCCACATTGCTGCAGTAATTCAGGCAAAAGGGGCCCCAACTAAGTATTGAGTGCTGTACATGCTCATACTTTTCATGTTCATACTTTTCAGCTGGCCAACATTTCTAAAAATCCTTTTGTTGTATTGGTCTTAAGTAATATTCTAATTTTCGGAGATACTGAATTTGGGTTTTTCATTAGTTGTCAGTTTTAATCATCACAGTTAAATGAAATAAACATTTGAAATATATCAGTCTGTGTGTAATGAATGAATATCCAAGTTTCACTTTTTGAATGGAATTACTGAAATAAATCAACTTTTTGATGATATTCTAATTATATGACCAGCTCCTGTATTTGTGGCTGCAAAATATTTATGAAGAAATCAATGAAGATTGATTCACTTTAGTCGCACCTTTTGAGAAAATGCTGCTGACATTTCAAGAAACTGATTTGATTCCATTGAATATGCTCATCAGTCTGTCAATACTTTATCATAAAGTCATATAGACAACCCCCCCAAAAAAAACAGTGTTTCGAGCTGAGTTTTGCTCTTTTTAAGCCTTGTTGTCATGAACCAGAAGGCGCTTTGTCATTGTGCACAAAATCTGCTAAAAAAGCAATAGTCCTCCATGAGCTGTTAGGCAGATCACTTGCTTCCTAATTGCAGCTCTTAGATTTTGCATCATCTCTTTGAAAATATTTACTTTGGTGGCACTTAAGGATGATGAGGAAAAAGCATAACATTGTTTGTCTCCCAGTTTGGGTTAGTACAATAAAATGTAGCAGAAAGATTCAGGCAGTTCATCTCCAGTGGATATCAAATGTCTGAACACACTTTTTATATTTCATGTTTTTGTTGTCTTGGGGCCGCCTGAACACAACACAGTTTATGTGGATATAGATATTGTATGTTGTTCATAGTTGCTTTTAATATATATATATTTA